TCCCACCCGCGCGGTGTCCGCCGAGACAGGCTCCAGGCAGGCCCACAGGGTGGAGCAGGGCCCAAAGCGGCTCCTAGAGCCTGCATGGCTTCCAGCTAATTTTAGCTCCCGCCAGAAGAGTTTTACTGTCTTCCTCTTGGTGGGAAGGGCTAGGCCATCAAGCGCTGAAGGGGGAAGAGGGGCAGCTGGGGGTGGAGGTGGTGAGAAGGGGCCTTTGATGGGTGGGGGAGGTGGGGGAGGAGGAGGTGGAGGGCCTCCAGAGAGCAGGGGTAGTGGGGGTGGTGGGGGTGGGACCCCTTTCACAGCCTCCACAGACTCCATGTTCAGCATGTCCTGGTCTTCGTCCTCCCCCAGATCTGAGAAGTCCAGATCCCCAATGCAGAGCTTGGGGACACGGGTAGGGAGCTCCTTGATGGGCTCAGCCTTGGGGCTTGGCAGAGTCAGTGGCTCCTTGGGCTCTGGCTCAAGGCTCTGCTGGGCCCGGAGCAGAACTCGGGGGCCAGGGCTCTGGGGTGTTCTGGGTGCAGGGACTGGTTCGGGAGAGCCCCATAGTTCCTGGATGTCTAGAAAAAGGGAATCAGTTGTCAGCATCAGGCCCTCTGTGGAACAACAGGGCAACATGGGTAGATACTGTCCACCCACTTACTTACATGGGTGCCCATCGGGCTCATCGAGCATGGCCCCAGCCAATGTCTCTGCCCGGCCCTGGGCCAGCGCAGCCTGCTTCTCTGTTTCTGCTGCTGCCACATTCTCCAGGAACCGGGCTCTGGGGGGAGGCACTTATCAGTGAAGGCATCAGTGAAGGCATTTGGGGTGGTACCTGTTCCACCCCAAAGCCCAGTTGCTCACACTAACACCCAGCCCAGGATGGTGCACATGCCTTGCTGAGCCCCTGGGCACTGCCCCAATTGCAGGCACACACAGACACACAGGAACAGTCCATGCACTGAGCAGACCCAGGACCCGCCCCGCAAGGCCAGTCCCTGTTCAATCCTTCACATCTGAGGAGGGTCACTACCAACCCAGCATTCCCAGGTCAACATACAGAAAGAAGTTCTACTGAATGTTTAACTCAGCAACCTTGCTGCTGTTCATGTTCACTGTCCTGATTTTAGACAAAAAGCAGGGGAAGGGGATAGCTGTTCCAGTGGGCATACCGGACTGTCCCTCCCTTGGCATGTCTGCAGCTTCTGAAAGCTATGACCTAAGCCTGGAAAAGGGCCTAGTAAGTGACAGGCACTCAGTTTACATCGAAGTAATGAATGTGATCCAGTATTTCTTTTGGCCCTCAGTCCCTGTCCTTTCCTTAGCCCTAGGTTGCTCCTTTACCTCCACACCACACAGTACCTTAGATCCCCTCCCTGCCCTATTCCTGGCCTCAGGACATGGGAGAATAGGCTGGGCGTCCATGTTCTTATCTCTGGTCAAAGCTGTTAAAGTCTCACTGTTGAAGCACAAGGACCACTATGACCCCAGTGAACTAACTCCAGTGCTTAGTCCTTAGGCAACTGAGGAGGCATGTCTGGGAAAGAAAGGGCCTAAGAGCTTCCCAGCTCTGGCTGCATCAGGCAAGTAGAACCCCCGCTGGGGGAAGCAATGCTGAAGCCCTGAGCACATGACAGGTGGGGCAGGCTGGCCACTGTACTTACTCCAGCCTGGCCTGACCAGTAGGGGACTTGGGGACAGGTGGGCTCTCAGGGGCCCTGGGCAGGGGGGATGAAAGAAGAGATGGTAATTGTGGTACCTGTTCCACCCCAAAGCCCAGTTGCTCACACTAACACAGAGCAGGGCAGAGCTATCAGGGGTTCCTTCCCAGCCACAGTGAAAAGAGGAGGTGGGTAGGGGAGGTATGACAAAAGGGAACTGTAAGTGGAAGGGAGAGACTGATTAAGCAGGACAGGGTGCAGTAAGAAACAAAGAGCAGACAAGAGAGTCAGAGACAGTGACAGTGAAACAGAAAGACAGTAGGGTGTAGGGAGACAGATGATGTTGGCCAAGACAGGCAGACTGCCAGAAAAAGATGAAGAAAAGCCTCAGGAGGAGGTCCAGTCAGAGCCGAACTCCACCCCTTCAGCAGTCACTTACCAAACAGGAGCAGTTTGGTGAAGTCTGGAAAGAAAGAGAGAAAGCCGAGTTTGGGCAGAGGAGGCAGAGTGTCCGTGGAGGGGCGCAGAGCAAAGGGACAGGTGTTGAGAGGGCTCCGGGGGCGGCCCCTATCTCCCTTCTTACTTATAGATGCTTCTTTCGCAGGAGCTGTCAGCTGAGGGCATCGCGGAGATGGTAGGAAAGAGGTTCATCGAGGTAAGGAGGCCAGGGGCAGGGCCCATTGGGCTGGAGGTGGGGCCTGTTGGCAGGGCGGGGCCTCTGGGGCTGGAGGTGGGGCTTGCGGGTGAGGCAGGACCCATGGAGGTGGAGACTATCGGTGAGGAGGGGCCTGTGGGGCTGGAGGCGGGGTCTGTTAGGAGGCCGGGTTACGCCTGGCGCATCCATCCCTCTCCATCGCTGAGACCTGTTCTCACCCAGGCTCTGTGGCGCGCACAGGGCAGCCCCCACTTTCTAGAGATCGGCGGCTCCTCTTGCCCTCCTCTGAAGAGGGCTTTCTGCGCTCCCGCCGCCCACCTGCTGCAGCTTCTTCAATGTCTCCATCTTCCAATCGCAGGGCACTCTAGAGGAGGTGGGCCCAGTTATTAGAGGCTGAGATAGGATGGAGCGCTGGGGAACTGCGCCCTTCCTGCCCCTCCTTTTAGAGCCCTGGAGGCGCAGCCCACCTCGTAGAGCACAAGCTGCGCTCGCAGGTCGACGTCAGTGCCCGGGGTGCCTAAGTGACGCTGGACCAGTGCCTCCATGCCCTGCTGCTCCAGTGCATCTGTCACGTCGTAGAAGGAGTCCTGGTCCGGGAGCGCTGCCAGTGTCTAGAGGGTGGGGATAGAAGGGTGAGGCTAAGGCTGATGGGGACCAGAAGTCTGAGGGGTCCAGAATTGGCGTTTGGTTCCCGCCTCCAGCCCTCACGCACACCTTGTTAATGAGGGTGACTGTATACACCAACAACTCAGGGTCGGTGCCATTCTTCTCCTCCAGGATGGATACCATATTGGCCCACGGAAGAGCACCTGCCACACAGAGGAGGGAGCAGTCATGTGGAGACAGGTAGGAGAGAGGGCTCTTAGTGGTGGGAAAGGGAGGGACATTCTCTGACCGGTGTTGCTGGCCACAGAGTTGACTGCGTAGATGAACAGTGGTGCGTTGCTCTCAGAGTATTCCACAAACACCAGCAGCAGCTTCAGGGCTGTCTTCACCACCAAACGGGACTGTGGGGTGGGGTCATCACATATGAGTTTGGCTTGGGCCAGACCTATGCCAGCTCCTGGTGTGGCCAGGGAAACACTCCTAGGGCAGGACCCACAGAGGAGAGTCTAGGCAGAAAGACCCTGGCTCCAAGGCCAGGTGTTGAAGTGTCTTCTAGGCTGAGAGGGGCCACAGACCTGCTCCATTCTAGCCTACTTTTCAGAAGAGGAAACTGACGCCCAGAGAGAGGCAATGGGAAAAGGGTACATGGCTGGGTGGAGGGCCACTTACCAAGCTGGCACACAGTGTGTACAGCCACTGCACGGTCTCACTATGGGCCACCACCCCCAGCATCCCGTCCACAAAAAGCATCAGCTGGCCTAGTGCTGGGGACACAGCAACAAGAGGTCAATAAGTTGTTGTTGAAGGCAAGGGTCATGGGGGAGGGGTGGGGCTGACCTCGGAGTATGTAGCTCTGGTAGTTATGGTCAGCAGCAGCACCCACGCGGATCAGGCAACTCAGTCCCTCTGAGTGCACGAATTCAGGCACCAGGTCCTTGTCCTCCTGGGGGCAGCACGGGGAAGTTTAAGGAGGCTCTGGCTGGGTGCCCACCCCCAACCCACCTCTGGGGCTCACCTGGAAGATCTGCTTTAGTGAGAAGAGGGAGCGGCGGAGCTCAGGGCCACAGGAGCCATACAACTTTTCTGCAAAGGGTAGATGGGCATGGTAACATTGAGAAAACACAGACACCCTCTTCTATTGTAACACATCCAAGCCCTCCCCCACCAAGGAATATTCTAGTACTCTTGAACCACCTCCCTCCACTCTCTTACTCGGTAACCCCTACCACAGTCTAGTTGCAGCATCAGCCCTGGCCCTGGAAGGAAAGCTCAGGATAGGAGTGGGGAAGGGCCACATATCCTGTCTCTAATCTGCTCTGTCCCCTGTCTAGCACAGTCCTGAAAGAAACTGAGCCAGCTGGGGTGGGGGAGTTGCTGGACACTGATGCCTCCATACACTTACCTAAGATGGCATTGACCCTCACGGAGAGCTGGGTCCGCAAAATCAGTGTAGGCTTCCGCCCTTTGCTGGAATCAAGCAGCCTAGTTAGCAGCTCCCAGCCCATTCATTGGGGTCCCCCCCCCAACACCTCAGTCAAACACCTCCCCAAATGCCAACCCTGGACCAGCACCTTCCTCCCCAACTGCTTCTCCAAGCCCAAGGGTTGGCCAGACTGGAGAGTTTGTGCAAACACAAGTATCTCAGGTATGTGGGAGAGCCCCCACACCCAACCTGGGAAGCAGGTAACACTGGCCAGGCCTTGGGAGTCCCCTGGCACAATTCCCTGGGGCAGCAGGAGGTGACCCACAGCCAGGCTAGAGATTATGTGTCTTGGCTGCTGACACTTGAGCCAGCCCCTGGTAGGGGCAAGGGTGGGGCCAGCCTTGCCTCTTGGCCTCATCAGCTCTGACCTGATCTCTTCATAGAAGCCCTCCAGCATCTCCCGCTGCTCTTCCAGGGACAGCTCGGGGTCCAGGTAGTATCCAGAGGGAGACACTTGCAGGGCACAGTCCTCTAGCTGGGGGGAAAGGGAACAGCTGGCAGGGCTGGGGAAGAGGTGGCAGGGGTACATAGGGAGATCCCATGACTTCTTACCTCCTACTCAGGGTGCTGGCAGAGAGACACATCACAGGGTCTGCACTGCAGCCATGAAATTCTTCAGCAGTTATTTCTCATGCGCCTATTATGTGATAATCCCATCCTTCTCAAGTGCCAGGCTTTCTTGCTTTTTGTATGTGTTAAGTCTTCTGCTGGGTAATACCTACCCATTCTTTAGGTTTCAAATTAGATAATGCTTTTTTGAAAAGCCTTCCTGGGCTCCTATAGCCAATGCTATGCAATCTATTCGACCTTGTTTATGTACCCTGTTCTGAGGTCTTCCCCACAGCATTATAATATCCTAGACACTAGTTTCCTTCCCCTCTAACTGTATATTTTCTGGATTCAGGCATCTGAATCTGCAGAGCCTAGCACAGCACTTGGTACACATAAGTGTTCACTAACCAGTTTATTGAACTAATGAACATGAATGAGGAAGGGGAATGGAGAAGATGGGAGGAAGTTCCTGCCTTCGAGGAAGTTCACAGCTCTGTGGGGTGATAAGCTATAGCCACAAAGCATTCAAGCTCAGGGAGAAAGTGTTAAGAATGCTGGGAGGTATAAACCCAGCTGGGAGGGTGTGTGTATCTCCCTGAATTAAGACAGTGAGGCTTGGGGCTCTCAGTCCCTCCAGCTGAGGGTCTTTGCCCTGCCCCCAAATGGGCTACAGTTACCATGGTCCTAGCTAGACCTCAGAGGTCCCCAAGGGATATATTAAAAATCAGATTTTAGGATAACTGTAAGTCTATAGTGTGTCCCGGAAACCTGCATTGTAACAAGAAAGCACACACTCCATCCATGTGCCTGCTTTCTGTGTCTCTCTCTCTACTGAGTCTGGCTCCCCTCCACCACTGGGCAGGAAGCTTGGCCCCTGTAGAAGGGCCTAGTGAGGTGACTGAGGAAAGTCTGAGGGCAGTACTGTATCTCTTCCAGACAACTCCCCCACAGCAAAGTCCCCTTGCCTTGAGTGGCCCCACTCCTTGAGGTGCCAGGCCCAGGGAGAGCCCCCTTCTGGAGAGTTAGGGTGCCTCTGGTCTCCATCTTCTTGGGAGAGTCAACCCCAATATTTGTCCTGTTGTTCAGTCAGCCTGGCCTTTTTCTGGACCCAGCCCAAGGGCTTCCAGCTGCCCTTGATCTCCTGGGGAAAAAAGGAGTCCAGTTCCTGCCCCCACCTCTGCCTCTGCTTAGCACCCCTGCTATGCCTGAGAGCCTGACCCAGCTCCTTCCTGGCAGTTCAGCCTATGAGGCCCTTGGGTGACCACCTCCCCCCCTGCCTGGGACATGGGACATAGGACAAACACTCCAGCCTGTTCTCTGTCCTATTTCCTGCCTGGCCGCCTGCCCTTCCCTGGGCGCCTTGGGCGGGCCTGGCCTCTCTCCCCTCCCAGGGAGCAGAGTCATCTTCTCCAGAGCCTACTTGGAACAGGCCTGAGATGGGGCAGCAAGGCCCCAGGGCTGGGGTACTTCATCCAGGGCCAGCTCAGCCGAGGGCAGCCCCACATTCCTCCTGATCCCTCTTCCCACAGGATGACTCAGCAGCCAACCCACCCCACCCCCATCCAGGCACAGCGGCATCTCCTTCTACCTTAGACTGGTGGATTCTGGGATCCTAGAGAAACATATCTTCTCCAGAGCCACACAACTTTCAGGGATCCCCCAAATCACACACATATAGAACGGCTCATTCATTCAAACATTCATGAACCAGGCTGGTTATAGGTGCTATGGACATAGCATGGAATAAGACACGACCTCTGCCTTCCCTGCCTTCCACTCCAGAGGGGAAGGCAGGCAAGTTTGACTCAAAAAAAGGCCACAAATAAATGCAGAAGCACAATGGCCAAGGGTGCTAAGAAAGGGGTGGGGCAGAGTGCCGTAAAGGTAAACACTGGAGGGGTCATCAGATTATATGTGGTAACTGCTTACACACCCAGGTATATGGTCACATATGTATATGCTCACTGGCCATGCACAGGCCCAGGAAGTACACCCATAGAAAGATGAGGACCAATATGCTAGCTCCCCTCGTGCATGCATACTTGCATGCTCTAATCCCAAGTGAGCAGAGAATAGCCCTCTCTTTCCAAGATACCTGGGATGCCTACATCCATGTGGGGTAGGGTCCTGAAGACTATGTGCTCTACTACCCCCAGCCTCCTCAAATGAGCAGACTTAAACCCTTTCCCTCCATGGTGGTAGCAGTGGCTTCCCTAACCATGTCACCTGTTCAATTCTGCCAGGGCCCTATTTCTGGGGAGGAGGGCCATAAGTAATAGGCAGCCCAAAGCCTGCAGGATGGTGTCTCCCTCCTCCAGCTAACTGTCCTGGGCAGAGATGTGTGAGGGTGGGGTGGGGGTGGCCTAGGGTCAGACAAGCAGTAAAGAGTGGAGACTTGTTGCCAGCTGGGTGGTGCTTTTCCCTCACACCCCTGCCCCTTCCTGGGGTCACCCTTCTGAGAGCCAAACCTCTGGGCCTTGTTTCTCACACCCTGGGACTGGGCCAGGCCTGAGTAAGCCCAAACCCTGGTCCCTGCTGACAATGCTTAGGATCAGCACAGGGTCAGTGTGGGCCTACATCCTTGACTCTCTCCTGGCTCTCGTCTTCAGCACTTCCCTGCTCTCCATCTTGGGGTAGAGTTCCTCCCCCATTCTTTTCAGGCTCAGCCCCTCACTTAAGCCTCCAGCCCACTTTCTTTTTCATTCTCTGGGCTCAGGTTTTTCTGGTAGTCCTAACTAACTTGTTACATATGGTTGTATATGCAGGGCTAAGCTTAGGGGACCCTGGTGTCTACTCCCCAATATTTTTCATAGCAGTGTAATCAGATGAGAATGAACATGCCAGGGCAAGGTACAAGGAAGATGGAGAAGAGGGCAGAATTATATGCTGAAAGACTTTTGTTTTAGAAAATAATTTGTTAACCATTTTTTTCTTCTCT